ATGTGTACAACTCTTAGCAAAATAACTGGCATATAGCGAGCACTTCACAGTGGTCATTATTGTTATTGATTCATAGCTGGATTTGGGGTCTGGTTGGATGAGAGCTTGGCTAAGGATAGAGCTTCATTTTTCTTGGCACAGGGTCAAGCGGTGGGGGTACTCTGAACACAGGGTTCAGGACATCTCAGGGCTGAAGACCCCTTCATTTGTTCATTCATCTGTTTTGCTTTGTTTTGTTCACAACATTTCTTGAGGTCTGCCACCTACCAGCACCCAGTTAACAACTAGGGATATAGTTGGGTAGAAAGTAGATCAAATTCCTGCCTTCAAGAAGTTCACATTCTTAGGGGGAGTGAGAGATGTACACATCAAAAATAAAGGCATGCAGGGCCTGGGATTTAGCTCAGCGGTTCAGGGGCCTGCCTCGCAAGCGAAAGGACCTGAGTTCAATCCCTGGTACCAAAAAATAAATAAGTAAATAAATAAAGGCATGACTCCAATGTCAGAAGGTGATAAGGACTACCACAAAAAAAAGTTACGGCAGATGGTTACTAAATGCTGAAAAGTTGATTATTTCTGATAGTAAAATGAGAGTAATTCTCCCTGGCAAGATACTACATATGAACAGATACCTGAAGGAGGGACAGGGTCATCTGGATATTTAAGGAGACAGAATTCCAGTTACGGGCATCAGCAAGTGTAAAGGCTCTGAGGCTGGAATCCATTTGGCCTGCTGCAGAACACTAAGGAAGCCAGAACATCAGGCGCAGCTGTGAGGCCAGAGCTATGTGCGCTTGAGAAAGAGGGTGCAGCAGGTGTCAGAGGAGCAGGGAGCCTAGGAAAGGTATGGTGTCAGGCCTTGCAGCCACCATAGAGCCTTTCCTGCCCAAGGGTGCTGGGAAGGTAGCCGGAGTCCTTGCTTATTTCCGTTGCAGCCTTTTGTTCTTTCATTCAAGTCCTGTTCAGCCACTCTGTCCCTAGCACCTCTCTCTTCTCTTTGTCACAGACACATTCAGCAATATTGCACTCAAGGAACTCAAAACCAAGTGGAGATAGATAGTCATTAATCAGATAAACACATAAAATAAGACCACTCTGTGGAATAGTGATGGGGAAACTGAACAGTGAAGATGCCCTGGAATCAGTGGCAGGCAGGTGTGGGTATTAGGCTGTTATCAGGCAGGCAGCCCCTTCAAGAGCTTAGTGAAGGCTGAGGTGACAAGTAGTTGGAGACTGAGGGAGGATGAGGCTGGAATGGAAGGCATTGGAGGGTAGGATGTCCTCTAACACTGTGCTAAGCAGAGACACTTTTCTCTTTTCTCCTGACAGCAAGAAAACCTCAGGAGTAAGTAAAGCAGGATGTGACACGATCATATTTGCAGCTGGAAGTGATTGCTCTTGCTGTCTCTGGGAAGAGAGGATTGCAGAAATTTGGGTCTGCTAATAAAAAGGTTATTTCCAGGGCTGGAGGGTTAGGTCAGTGGTAGAACATGTGCTTGGCACTGGCAGTTTTGAATTTTGAATCCAATCTCTGGCAGCAATAAATAAAGGTTTGTTATAGTTACCAAGATGAAAAATTATAGTTGCTGTGTCAGTCAGTGCTTACTAGAGAAACAGATTTAATACAAGATATACAAATATGTGAAAGTTTACAAGATTGGCTTACTATGGCTGCTCACAGAGTCAGGTGTGGAGGAGTGTAAAAGGTCTCGCCGCACCCTGGAGACCGAAGGATTCAGTCAAAGGTTTGGCCCTCACTGTAGTGTCCTGTGGGAGTCTCTGTTAGGAGGCTACAGGGTCTACCATGGAATCCAAGGCAAAAGCAAAGACTGGAGCTCCTCCAAAGGAACAGAGGCAAGCCTACCTTTCTCACTACCCTTTTCTACCATGCTGGTGCCCCCCTCCTCCAGGGTTCCACACCCAGAACTATACTGAGACAATTTAGTTTGGCCTTTCTTACTCAAGATGACACAGTGATATGAGTGTCACAGTTGCTTTGATAAGAGCGGACTCGAGGAAGCCAGAACATAATGGGCTCTAGAATATTTGCAGGTAAGATTGAGAAGTCATGTCGGAGGATGAGCCCCAGAGACGAGAAAGGAGCTTAAAAATGCTTCTGAGCTTGGGTCTGTGTCCCCAGACAAAGGGTGGCCAGGGTGTTGGTTGGACCCTTGAGGGTTCCCATTTTTCTACTCTGCTATGTCAATCTCCTTGAATGTTAGGGCCACGCTTAGTTCTCTGGCCAGCTCCCAGCCTGGAACCTGTTCACTGCCGGAACAGGTGAGTTCCGAGAGCCTCTCCAAGCCAGTCCTGAGAAAGATGTGGAACCAGCCAAAGCAGAATGAGATAAAAATCCATCTTGGAAAGGACAAGAATGAGGTTTAAAAATCTGTGGGGTTGCTAAGAGAACCCTGCAGAAGTGGCCCATGATTTTACTTGTCAGCTTTTCAGGGTGATAGTTAAGTGTCCCCTCCCCTAGGATTCTACTTCTATTCCCTCCTAGAGTCTCTTTACAGGGCCATCACTTTGAAAAAAAGACCCTTGGAACAGCTTCCTCCCTCGGGACCTCTGTAAGAGCTGTCCCCTCTATTGTGAGTGCCTCTCCTCCCCACTCCACCACACACTGGGGCGCTTCATTCTGTGAACTCCTCATGTCCTTACTGCCATTTGTCACCTGCTCCAGTAGCTTTCTCTGGCATTTGTGGTCAGAACATCCTGCATTTCTCTTGTGTGGCACTTTTCACATTGGCCATTAATCACTTCTTCTTATCATATTCTTGGTCATTTTGGCAGTGCTTCATGATCCTCGGGCCCAGCACTGTGCTGGTGTACAGAGGATGGAGTGGGCCAGGGAGATGCCAGCCTAAAGTCAGGCGAGCCACAAACAAATGTAAATCATCCAGTGGTGTCTTAGAAAAACAGATTTTGCTTTGCATCTTCTGAGCATATCTGCATTTTATGAGGCAAAATAAACCTTTACTGAAAGGAATGCCCATTGGGTAATGGGAGAAATATTTTAAAGGTATTAAATGTCTGTGGTTTCAATCAACTCCTCTATACACCCCATGCCCTGCAGCTGTTCCACCCTTACTGCTTCAGCGGAGGGTGAATGCCACCTTGAGGTGGAAGAGGATGTTAGGGAGGGGGCCGGGGCCAGATGGGAAGAGGCAATGGGAAGCCACTTCCTGGCCCTGCAGCAGGTCCCAGACACACGGGGAAAAGTGGGGCCAGATCCCCCAGGGTTCTTCGAGGTTAGTGCTCTTCCGGAAGGTCCACGTGGGATGAACCCTTGAGAACAAAGCCGAGCTACCTGTGCACACTGAAGCAGACAGAGAAAGTGGCAGAGCACAGTCAGAGGGCACCAGGTGGGAAGTCTCTCCTCCTACTATCACAGACACTAGGCTGAAAGGGGTGATTCTAACAGAAAGAAGATGCTTCCAAAGAAAGAAATGGAATCATCATTGATTAGCGAGTTTAAAACCCCTATTTCTGCAACTATCACTGTATACACATCCCCCATGGCAAGAGGCTTGTGTACATTAGAAGACCGTTTGTAGAAAACAAAGCAGCCACATTTTCAATGTACATAGAAGTGCAGTAGTCCTGTGACTGACATGTGACCCCCCCTCCCCCTAAACCCTCTAATAATGGGCCCTTAAGACTGGACTACTCACATATCCCCTGAGGACATTTGCCCATCTTAGCCACCTGACAATGTGTGTGTGTACCTTGGAGTGAGAGTAGGGGACTGGCTGCATGCAGACATACTTCTTTCACAAGAAATTGTCCCACTCTTACCTGTCTGTATGCAAATACAGGGACTCTTGTGCCTTTCAGTCTGGTCCCCACAAAGTTCTATACTTTTGGACTACTTAGATGAGAACACCAAACCCGTCATCCCCTGTGCCCATTCTTGTTTGAGATGCACTGCTTTTGTTGTTGTTGTTTTTGTTTGTTTGCTTGTTTTGTTTTGGTAGTGGGGATTGAACTGGGGACTTTGCGCTTGCAAGGCAGGCAGCGGAACCACTGAGCTAAATCCCAGCTCCGATGCACTCCATCTTCAGATCCTGGATCAGCCCTCCAGTTCCCTCCAAGTACTCTCTGCTCCTCCCAGGAGTTAAACATTCCTGTCATGACTTGGCCCTTTGAAACATGTCTGATGGCTGTATCATAAAACAGTGGCAAAGCAGTTTAATTGAATCTTTTTTTTAAAGTACATACTGACATCCAAAACAGAATGATAATGCTTAGTACTAGCAGAGACCTTTTCGTCTTCAGCGCACTTTGCTACCATTAGCAGCCACGTTTGCTGAAGGTAGACTCACTTTCCTTAGTGTCATACTGGATCACATCAGATGGAATTTGGAGACGAGGAACAAGAGGCTTGCTTGGAATGCCGAGTTGTTCTGGAAGGCAGTCTGAAAACAAGCACAGGAGAAATCTCTGTTATATTCATTCCCTTGTTTGGATGCAGGATAGTTTGGGTCATGACAGACAAATATTCCCCCGATCTCAGGGCTTCAGATGTCATGCTTGCTGTCATTCTCTTTCCAAGTCCTCAGGCCACAGGATATTTGCACTTGTCATTCTCCCGAGCTGCAAAGCTCCCCTCTTCATCACTGCCTCCCACATAACACTTATTAATCCTTTAGCTCCTAGGCAGTCATACCTTTGTATGAACCTTCATGCAATAAGAATTGAGTTTGTGTTGTTCATTCACTAGAACTTCCATGAGGGCAGAGGTCTTGTTTTTATTTTGTTCAGCTTTGTATTCCCACAGCCTAAAAGTTCAGGGCCAGCGCCTAATCCTAATGATTGCTCAAACTGAAGTAATTCATTGACTAATTTTTTTCCTTTCATATCCCTATCCCCCCAAATTCAGATTACCTCAGGTTGATTCAGATACAAGTCAAAGTCCTTAGAATGCTCCATTCTGCATGTTTGCCACACCATCCCTTATTACACAATCGTTGCGCATTTGCCTGTTTTTCTTGCATGGGGCCTAGTGCCTGAAGAGCCTCTAGCCCTCTGGCTGTTATGTTGACCTCAGTAGCTGAACTTACCTTTTCTGGACTTGATGTAGGAGGAAGTAAGTATGGTGTCTGTGTTGTACCCTGTGAGGCCCCTAGTGCCCGTGCTCCTGACCTCATCTGCAGCTCCTCATCTCCACCTCACTTACCTGCTGAAGTCCCATCAGCCTTCTTACTCTCCAGTTCATGGGAGTTCCATGACCTTTGCACTGCCTGTTTCCTCCACCTGGAGTGATTTTCCTTCAGAGTTTTTCACGATGTTTTTTCCCTCACTTAATTCAGGTAACTGCTCAAAGAGGTTAATTCAGGTAACCTCTTCAGAAGAATCTTCTCGATTGAAACTCCAATCTCTCCTTTCTGTTCCACACTCTTCCTTTTAAATTGTTCATTATGGCTGTTATAAATGTGTGTTACATATTTGTTTATTGTCTGATCTTTAACTGGATTGCATATTGCATGAGAGTAGGAGCCATGGGTCTTCCTTATCATGGTGTCTCCAACTTTGGGTGGTGCTGGATATGGGGAGGCTCAGTGAGTACCCTGCATTGGTAATGGTGTCCACACTAAGGGTGGGATAGTAAAAATATTTAGATTGATTGATATTTTAATTGTATTATAATTCATATTTTCATTTTCCAATAGAATTGCCTCCCCAAATCCTATTTATTCCTCCTCCACTCCTTTATCTGTCTTTCTCAGCCGATCAGTGTCATGGACAAATGCACTCATATAACACACACTCAACACAACTTTATTAGATCATTGGTTGAGGTGGTGGAAAGTTGACATTCTTTGATTTTTGTCTTTCATGTGTTGTCAATTTCAAATAAATTAAGTTAGTCCCAAGAAAACAAAGTCTGAAATTTCACAATTTTCTGAGAATTATTGGAACCGAGTCTTCAACACGAGATATAAGTCTGTAAATATTTTCAGTTCTTAATGTAGTAATTACATTTTGGTGCTGATTCACACGTAAGTGTTTTCATATTTCTACCACATGCATGTTGTAGTGTACGTATTTTCCTTCTCTTTTTTTTCAGAAAAGCACATAAAATACAAATCTTTCTACATCAAAGTGGCAGCAGAGGAGTTAGAGTTCTAAATATTCTCTGATTTGGAATGGTGTTCCACTAGCATGAAACCAACACTTCATCAAAGTGGCCTGCTTCAATCGAGGCTGTCCCGGCGAGATATAAATTATAAATCATATCTTCTGTTTTACATGGGAAATGGGAGCTTGCAGGTGGATCGTCTTTCAACAGATGGGCTTAAGGTAGTTTCATGTTTTCTGCTGCTTATGCTTTGCTTATAATGTCATTTTCAAAGATTCCATCATTAACTACAGAGGTACCTGGGCAAGGAACTTTCAACAACTAAATATGGGTTTTGGCAACAGCTCCAGTAGCCCAAAAGTTTGGGTGGCCTGAGGTGGCAGAGTGAACACCAACAAACAGACTGGAGGGACGGCAGAAGACATGGAGCTGAGTGAGAAGTAGGGGACAGAGAAGGGATGTTTCCTCTCCTCCACTGGCTCCTCAGTTCAGGTCCCAGACAGGTATGAAGGGAAGGAAAGGAAGGCTGAGAAGTAGGAGTCCCGGCCCTTGCCACCCACAGTGAATCTCGGGCTTCAATTTCTCATGGGGACCATGAGGAGCTGATACGCAGTGATTCTCTTGTAGAAAATGTTAAGAGTTGAAATACTGATTGGGAAAGCCCTCCAATGTCTGTTTCCTAGTGATACTCTAGAAAATAACTGCAGACTGGGTGATTTAAAATAACAGAAACAGATTCTTTTATTGTCCTGAAATCTAGAAATCCAAAATCAAGGTGTCGGCAGGAAGGCGCTCCCTCTGAAGTCTCCAGAGGAGAATCCTTTCTCGCTTCTGCCAGCTTCTGGTGGACTAGAGGTGTCCCTTACCTTGGAGCTGCATCACACCAGTCTCAGCCTCCATCTTTTCATGCTCTTTTCTTCTGTGTATCTGAATCCTTCTTATAAAGTCATTGGATTTAGGACCCACCTTAAATATGGAATGATTTTGTCTTGAGATCATTAACTAATTATAGCCACACATACTCTATTTTCAAATAAGATAATCTCTCCCAGGTTATGAGTAGACATGGATTAGGGATGGGGCTACTGATCAGGCCACTCCAATCCTAAGTGACTTTATTTCCCTGACTTTCTTATCTCCTCTGTGGAGACTCCTCAACTCCCTATTCAGCTAATACACTAAGTACCAGGTTGGCGTGGCAGGGTGCCTGAGGACCCTGCTCCAGGCCTGTGGACAGGGTTGAAGAATCAAGAGCCCATCTGTTCTGTATGCTGACCCAGTGGGCAGCAGAGACAGTGCACTTATATGGGTGCAGTGAGGAACAGAGACTTCAAACTAAAATGGAGGTAGATGGTGACCGGGATGAATGTTCTAGGGAGACCAAGACCTGGCATATGTGTGAGAACAGCCTCCATTTGGCTAGACTGGATGCCTTTGCTGTGTGACAGGGAAAATCATGCCTTCCTGTTCCTACACCTTCGCTCCTATTGCTCCTTTGTTTGGGATGCTCTTCTTCCTCCTCTTCCCGGAATAGACAGTAGTCCTTCGTTTCGGATGGTTCCATGCTCTAAGTGCATGGTCAAATGAAGTCCAAATTATTAAATGGGAAAGTCTAGAAGTAAACAATTCCTAAGTTTTAAATAGCATTCTGCGTGAGTAGTGTGATGAAATCTGTCACTGTCCAGCTTCAGCCTGGGCAGACACGGAGCACCCCTCTGTCTCTACATGCTAACCACTCTTTAGTGCTTTCGTAACCATCTCAGTTTGCCAGGTGGAGTGAGGTGGTGTCACCATACTGTCTTCAAGGAACGCTTATTTCACTTAATAATGGCCCCAAATAAAAGAGTAGTAATGCTGACAACTGGAATATCCCAAAAAAGAAGTTTCAAATTGCCTCCTTTAAGTGAAAAGGTGAAGGTTCTCTACTTGAGGGGAAAATGTACAATGTTGAGGTTGTTAAGATTTACAGGAGAATAAGGTATTTTGAGATCACAATCACATAACTTTTATTACATTGTTACAATTTTTCTATTTTTAAGTTATTGTTGCTTATATCTTACTATGCCTAATTTATGTTAGGTTTTATATAGTTATGTATAAAAACATACTATGTATAAGACTCCATATTCTGCAAGTTTTGCTCACTCTGGAGTGAAAAAGAAAATAAGTTGGAAAATAAAACTGAAAGCAAAGATGCTAAAATTTTTTCTTATATTACCAAAATGACGGTTCCTTTTGCTCTTAAAGGTTATTATAGGTTTGATCCCATTTGACTTTATCAGTCTCTGTTAAACAGTAAAGGTAAACATTATTTTTTCTTTTGCACATAGAGACACCTGGACTAGGTCTTCCTTTTCTTGTCATCTCACAGTTCCTTGGCTGTTCCTCTGCCAGAATCTGCACCTGTCAGACACATATCCTGAAGACCTATACGCCTGAGTCTCTCAACAGCAGTAACCTCCAAGAGGACAACGACTGTGTGATTAGTGCTGTGCCTAAACAGCCCAGTTCTTTTCTCCTCCCAGCACACAGTATGACTGCATTTGCATTTCCCCCTTAACACGAGGAACAGGCAATGAAATGAATTAGGAACAGGGAGTGGCATGTCACTTCTGGGATAAAGCTTTCTGAACAAGTGCACAATTTACCATGTCCTTTTTCCACTGCTGCAGAAATATAGAAGCACCTATTGAATGTGGGTCTCTGAATGACTTGGAAGTAAATCCTCCTGATGACCAGAGATGGACCTGTAAAATGAAAGGCAAATCAGCTCACTGTTTTACTTTTCTGAACTTTCTGGTTACTGCAGCAGGGCCCAGCCTCTCCTGACTAATACATATGACTTACTTGCTTTTCCAGTTTCTTGGAACCATAATCATACCTCACAAATAGTGGGTCCTCAATATTAATTGAATTAATAAATGAATGCAAACTGAGTTCTTACCTTCAAAAGAAGCAGCAGTAATGTGAATAAACAGAGTAGAAGGGATCAGCTGGGAGTAAAGATTATACCAAGGATAGATAGACACAGGAGTAGACGGTCCGGTCTTTTTCAATTCTATCTCATTGGCGGACTTAAGCTATTCCTCTCAGTATATTTATTTTAGCAGTGCCTTAAAGTTGAAAAAAGAATGAAAAAGGAAAAGCAGAAGAAAGAATTAACATTTGCTACTAAGAGAAGATGAAGCAAAGTGGTGTACACAACATTTTTTTCCCTATTTTTTTCTCAAAGCTTAACTGAATGTGCTAATTTACCTGCTACCCACTGCTCTTATCTAGTCATGTATTCAAGTTACTTATTCCACAAAATCTTATTAAATAGTTACTGGGTTCCAGCTCCTTGATTAGGTACCAGGGGTAGGCTATGATGTGATCTATTCTTTTATTTATTATTAAGTTTATTGGTACATTTTAGGTATACAGTGTGATGACATTCATCATTGAGAATTTGTACCTTCACATGACCTATTGTGGTTCTTATTTTTCCCCCATTCCTCTGCCCTCTCTTCACCCCCTCCACCCCTCCTTATTACAAAGACTTTGGTCCCATTTTTTCCTTTTCTCATATTTATTCCTTTCCCCTCTCCCTCCCACTTCCCCTTTCCCTTTGGATCTTTTCTTCCTATTTCACATTATCTATTATACATTTTGATCCTAATTTACACTTTCAGCTTCTCACACCAGAGAAACTACACATGTGAGACCTATTTATTTTACTTAAGAATATGGCCTCACTGAGTGATCTATTCTTTTAAGATATTCACAATTGCATAAGGAAAAGGATCCAAAGTAAGTGTTGAGCAGCTAGCACCAAGATGGCTGCAGGAATCCACCCCATACAGCATGAAGCACCCATCCGCTTCCTCCACCACCGGTCACTCCTTCATTCCATAGTGCTCCAAAGCCTTTTGAGCTCCTTTCCCATCCTCAACCCATTAGACTAGCACAGCAGCTCACTGGGGAGGGAAGCGGGTGTTGTCATCACCATTTGCAAGGTGAGGATACAGAAGCCCTGAGGAAAGGAGACACTCAGCTGGAGTCGGTGTCAGAGCGGAGTGGTGATCTTGTGATCAGAGATGCTCTATACAGAGGAGGTGGGCAATGCCACTTCCAGACAAGAAAACTGGTCCAGAGCAGATCAGTGACTTCCTCACTTGGTGAAGGTCATTTGGTGAATGAGTATCAAAATAAAGACTAGAATTACTTATAAAACAGAAAATAACAAATGTTAACAAATATGTGGACCGATTGGAACCTTGCTCTATGCTAGTGGAAATGTAAGGTGATGCAGGCTCTGTAGAAAATAGTATGGTGATTGCACACACACAAAAAATAAATGTAACATCATTACATAATCAAAATTGTCAGAGGTGGAAGCAACCTAAGAGTCCATGACAGATGAGTTGACGAGCGAGTGGTGGTGTCTAAATACCACAGAATATCATTCAGCTTTAAAAGACAAAATTCTAGCGTACACTGCGACATGGATGAACATGGGGGACATTAGGGAAATGCAAGTCAAAACCACAAATGATATACCACTTTGAAATCCATTTCAAAAGACGATCCTAGGTGTTAGGCACAAACAGGAGGCAAGGTATGGGCTAAGTCTGCTAAATATCCAGTAGGATGCTCATTGTTTGAAAAGAAAAACCCAGAAAATAACAAGTGTTGGCATTGTAGCCATTTCCGCAGAAATTGGAATATTTGTGCATTGCACGGAAGAATGTAAAATGGTGAGGCTAATGTGGGAAACACAAAGTGCTTCCTGGAAATTTTAAATTTACAGATACCACATGATCCAGCAACTCCACTTCTGAGTATAGAACCAAAACAATCCAAAGAGAGGACTCTGGCACCTTATTAGTACATCCATGTTTGCAGCAGTACTATTCACAGCAGGCAAAGGGTAGGCACAACCAAATATTCATCAACAGGTGAACAAACAAAATTTGGTCTATACAGCCAATGACATGTCAGTAAGTCTTAAAAGAGAAGGAAATTCTAGAACATGGATGTAAGTACATTATATCAAGTAAAATAGACCATTTACAAAAAGACAAATATTGTATGATTGCAGGAATATGTGCTAGGGAGTCAAACTCATAGAAACAAAGTATAATGAGGATTTCCAAGAACCATGGGGAGGAAGGATGGAGATTATTATTTAGCGGTGCACACTTTCAAGTTGGGAAGATGAAAAAACATGGGGAGATGGATGGTGGTGATTAGCTGCTGTGAATGAACTAAGCTGTAGGCTTAAATATGGACACAGTGCTCAATTTTGCAAAAGGGAAAAACATAAAGACTCCATTATAGCTCTTTAGGTCTTCAAACTTCCACAACGTATAGGTCAAGCCACACTCACTGTTCAAAAAGCTAAGCTTTAATTGACTAGTTAAAAAATCTTCATGTTGATTGGTTTTGCTTCAAACCCAAACCAACTAAATTCAAGAATCAGAAACGCCATGCAAGCAGTTACTTGCTGAAGACCCTTCAAAACCTCCCTGCATGGATGTGTAAGGGCAAGGCAGCCCTGAGTCCTGGCCCTCATGCTGAGAAGACGTCTTGCAGCCCTGCAGGCTGCTTGGACACAATCAATAGTGTCAGTGTTCTCGCAAACAGCTCCTGATGCCAGGAGCTGAGGAAGCAGGTGGATAGTTTTGCAGTGGGGGAGGAGGAAAACTGGCTACCAGGTATCTGTTACTCAGAGAGAGATGAAAGAGGAGTCAGCAGGCCCTTTCAAAGCTGAAAACAGTTTGCATGGGTGGATCATGGATAGCCAGCCAGCTGGGCAACAGGAATTTCTTCCACTGTGGTTGACCGTACCAGGAAAACTTCTCTGGACTGCTTGTGTTAATAGATTGTTAATGATTGATGCAGGGGCCTTTTATGTCCCCAAATGAAAGGCAGGAACAGGGCTCTGACTTGGGTGTTGATGACTACCCCAGCACTGTTTCCCTTGCAAAGATGGAATTTTAAAACATTTATGTTAGCTGAGCTGGAGAGCTGGGCTACACAACAGCTCGTGAAGGAATGAAACGATCTTGTCTGGTGCTCACCTTCCTTTGTTCTTTCACTCAGACATTAAAAATACAGCAGGCTAAAAGGAGAAAATAAATTTCAAAGATCCTCCTAGATGGCAGGCGAAAAGAGAGGTGAGGTGTGGAGCAAGTTTGTTAAACAGACAAAGCAAGTAGGTAGGAGATGAGCTGTTGATCCTTTGCAGAGAGGGACTGAAGTCTTCCTGGGCACCTTGCAGCCTCCTTGGAGGTATTTATTCACATGCAGGCCTGGTCACCTGCTACCCTGGACGCTGGGCTGGGAGCTTTTACAGAGTATCACAGAGAGGTGCAGCATTTTCAAGGCCACTCCAGGACAACAATTTTCTTCTGTGCTCTTGGCCCAGTCAGACTATCAGCTTAGTGGTAACACCAAAAATGATATTGCTTAAATGTTTAACAACAAAAAACTTAGGTATTCATGTATAATATGGAAAAGTATATAAATCATAAATGTGCATTTTTCTATACTCGCATCTGAGTACTTTTCTACATGTGCCCAGCAGTGGAGCGCCCCAATGTAACCAGCACCCTCACTTGAATCAATGGACCATATATTAGTTTGAGCATTTTTTGTCAAAAGGACTGAATTTCCTTCTTTGGAACTCACTTTCACTGCAGATTAGATTCTCGTATACTTTGATAATGGCTAATAAATGGGACGCACACATAATTTATCTTTCAAATAGGATAATGTTTGATGTTAGTGCAAGCATCCATAGAGATGTGAGATTCTTTTGAGAGTGAAAATCTGCAGGCAGAAATTGGAATCGTCCCAGGTATGTTTATGTTTCTCTACCAATAACCACTTACTGCACATCTATTAGGCACTGAGCTCTCCTTTTTTTTTTTTTGTACCAGGGATCGAACTTATGACCTTGCACTTGTGAGGCAGGCTGTGGAACCACTGAGCTCAATCCCCGGCCCTCTGCACTGAGTTCTTAATCTTCCACTTACCACTGCCCTCCCCATCCATTCCGTACCCTTTTCTCCATGCTCTGTGCTACAAGAAGCAGTTTCTTGAAGACTGCCGCTCTGGTTCCCTTGATCTCTGGCTTCAGCCAATCAGAGGCCAAAAGAGAGGAACACAGTTTCCTCTATTTCTCTTCAACCAAAGGGAATAGAATAGCTTTCAGCTATTCCTAGTCTCTGGGTGGCTTGATGTCTTTATACATAGCTCCTTTACATAGATCCTGCATTGTACCCTCATTTGAACCTCTCAGGTGGCATTTTCCTGCTGGGACTCTTACTGATACATCTATTTGGATTGAACCCCACTTGACACATATCATCTTGTAGAAACCTTCCAACAACCAATGAGATATGTAACTCTTGTTTTTGCTGTTTTGTGGATGATGAAATTGAGGACAGAGAGGTGAAATCATTCACCCAGACTCACAGCTAAAAATTGATGGAACCAAGTCTTATAAGGGTTATTAGAACTGGGACAGTGAAGTGGGATTTGCTCAAAATGATTCTCAAACTGCTAATTCTAGGACCTCTTAGTACATCCCAGAATAGCCAGTCTCCTCCAGTAATTTCATGAAAACCTTCCCATTCCGAAGACTCCAGAGGAACATAAATCAGGCAGGCTTTCTTTAGACAAATACATTTCTGACTATTTAGATCTTTCTCTTTTTGATTTGTTGCCTCAATACTGCAGAACAGTACAATTCCTGGATCCAGAGTACCAGCATCACCAGGAGTATGTTAAAAATGCAAAATCCTGGGCTCTACATCAGACCCACTGAATCAGATTATCTGCCTTGGACCCCTGAAATCTGAGTGTTAACAAACCATCCAGGAAATGCTGAGGCTCTGGCTTCTG